TTCAAAGGGGAAAGGACAGTCTCAACAAATGGTGTCTGAATACTGGACACCCACATGCAAGAGAATGAAACTGGACCCACAGATGGTGCTCCACACCATATACTAAACTAACTCAAAATGGATTAAAGACTTACATGTAAGATCTAAAACTAAAACTCCCAACCGAAAGAAAATTTATGGAGAAAGTATCAGTAACATTGGATTTGACAATGATTTCTTAGATACAACATCAAAAGCCAAGCAACAAAAGAAAAAATTAAACTGGAGTACATCAAAAATGAAGACTTCTGTAAATACACAATCAACAGAGTAAAAAGGCAGCCCATGGAAGAAAATATTTGCAAATCACACATCTGATAAGGAGTCAGTCACTATCCAAAATATTTAAAGAACTCCTATCAACAACAACAAAAATTTTAAAATATGCGAAGGACTTGAACAGACCTTTCCCCAAACCCAATATACAAATGCCCACCCAGAGTATGAAGAGATGTTCAATACAATCAGGTAAATGTAAATAAACCAATGAGATATACTTCAAACTCATTAGGATGGCTAATATTAGAAAAAAGGAAAGTAGTGTTATCAAGGGTGTGGAGAAATTAAAGTTCTTGTGCACTACTAATGGAAATAAAAAACAGTGCAACCTTTATGGAGAACAATATGGCAGTTCCCTAAAAATGTTTAAATAGAATTACCATATGATCTAACAATTTCACTTCAGAATATATATCCAAAAAAACAAAAGAACCTCAGAGACATTTACACAGCATGTTCATAGCAGCATTATTCATGAAAGCCAAGAGGTGGAAGGAAGCCAAGTGTCCATCAACAGATAAAGGGTTAAGTAAAATGTGGTGTACATATACAACAGAGTATTACTCAGTCATAAAAAGAAAAGAAATCCTGACACATGCTACAACTTATATGAACCTTGAGGACGTTAGGCTAAGTGAAATAAGCCAGTCTCAAAAAGATATATACTGTATGAGTCCATTTATAGGAAGTATCTCTAGATTAGTCAAATTCATAGAAACAGAAAGTAGAATGATGCTATTCTTTCATTGCCTGGGCTGGGGACAGGGGGAAATGGGCAGTTATGCGTTAACAGGAATAGAGTTTCAGTTTTGAAAGATGAAAATGTTCTGGAGATTAACTGCACAACAATGTGAATATACTACCACCACTGAACTGTACATTTAAAAATGATTAGGATGGTAAATTTGATGCTGTTTTTAACCACAAATGAAAAATCTTAAAAAATGGTTAGGGACTTAAAATATTTACAAAATACCTAATTCATCATTGTTTTCAGTTCACAGTCAGCACAGGATGTTCAAGTATAATAATCTTTCTTTTGAAAAGATACCTATAAAGCAATAAATACCAAACTATTGTTTATACATTTGTTGATCGTCTAAGGGAAACCAAAAACCCAGATGGGGATCAAGTTTTTATTACTTCACCTACCAACAGTAAAAGAAAAGCCAGTATTATATACTACCTGCTTGGGTGAAGGGAACTGCTAAATGGGTACCACTTAGTTAAAGGGAAAAAAGTAGTATTATTAGAACTCTACCTGAATTATCTGCTAAGTTCACAAATAGCTCTTTAAGCTGAAAAATAAAATTGGCTAAAATTAGAAATTCTAAGATTCATCCAATTTTATCTTGTCTAAAAGCCATCATTTTTCAAAGAGGTAAAAACACTTGGAATTAAAAATCCTCAAAAAATTAAACACGTTTTACCTTCTTTTATGTCACTAGTCAAGGACCATCTTCACTAGGGGCACCGAGTAGTAGGCCAGGTACCCTTCTAAGTCCTGGAGCAGTCAAATCAGTACTAGTATATTGAGTAGTAGAAATATAGAATCAGTCCAGTGACAAAAATATACTGCAGGCTAGTGTAATATTTAGTGGCTAAACCTAACTGGAACCTAACTTCAAAAAAATAACAATTTGAAAACACTGGCAGAAAACAGAACTTGGAAAAGTATGAAAAATAAACTGATCTACATATCAAACATATCAGACCTCTAAAACTATCTATGTCCAAACTTTAGATATTAAGGCAGGTTCAGATTTTCAGCGGCTCTCAAAAGATCAGCATTATTTGAAACTCTGGTGAACACATGTGAAAAAAAAATCTATCAAATTTAGCTAAAATGATAAGCAATTTAATAAGGTGTTACTATAATTAAGAAAGATTGGATACACATTGTTCCATTGGTCCACATTGTAGTGGTATCAGCAAATGGTACTCATTATCAAAATTAAATATTTATAAGGACTCCTATATGCAAGGAATTTTTTAGTGTTGATATTCAAAGTGCTTGAGGAAAACATTCACCAAGAATCATTTTTTTCTCAGCTACTTTAACCTTACTGATATCCTGTAAATTCTGCTAGTATCCTAACTAGTATCTCAAAGATGTTTTATTTGTAGGTATTCTAACTAAATATATGCAATATATATTAAAAATACTCTTGGAATTGGTTATGGGAAATCAAGTATTTCCCATATTTCTGTGGGGGAACACATGTGGAGGTATATATATAAATATATAAATACATATATATAACTCACATTTAAGTGTTTGAGAAAAATTATTCAGAACCCATATAAAGGTTTTTAGATGTAATCATATGCTCTGTCTTCCAGAGCTGGTTCACCTTTTCTCATTTCCTTGAACTACTGAGATTATATACAAGTATTTAGTACTGTGGGCGCCACAGATCCTAGTGAAGAGCTTGAAAGGGAAAGTATTTATGTACAAACACCAAGGTTACAGAATAAAAGTATTCCACAGAAAACAGACAGATACCCTTACAAAAGAAACACATGAACTGTATTAAGTATTAAATATTTGAGACATCCAAAATTCCTGATAATTTATCTCTTGAACAGAAAATATGTATTTAAGTCAGCAAGAAAAAGTCTTATAATAAAAAATATCTTCTGGAAATACGTTCTCTTCTAATTAAGCACTTTATTCAGTCACTGTCATTTTCATTTGGAAAACTGTGGCTCCTTAAATTATTTTAATGCTAGTGTCATTTTTATGTGCCAATTCAGGACATGAATATTACTCCTAGTGTCTTTGCTTATTCATCAAAATAGCTGAGAAGCATTATCCTTCCCTCTTGTTGAATTAAAAACCCTAACAGACAAAAACAGTCTAATCTCCAGGCTCTTCTCTTGGTCAAAGTGATAAGAGCACAGCAGGACCACTTTCAACCTCAAACTTTTTGTGAGCTCTATAGACAAGAACTTTAGTGTTCTCTGGTGGAAGATGGCAACTGGGAAAAAGAAAATACAGGTTTAAATTACAAATGTCCTCAGCCTGTCCAAACAGTTTTTCTAAGGAAGCACCTTAAGAAATATTTTTAACAGGAAGTAGAAGGTAAATGTGTCTAAATGCCTTTCCCACTTATAAAATGTGATGCAGAAAAACAAAATTAACAATTCTGCTATACACTGACAACCTGACAATCATAAGGGTAAGTATATCCAATAATAAGGAAATAAAGATAACTGAATAATGGCAAGTTTCTTAGCGGTCTTTGAACTCAAAGTTTAGATCAAAACCTTAAGCAATAAGACTGCATAGCACTACAGGTAACAAAAGAATATGCAAGGGAAATAAACCATTATTTTAAAGAAACAAACTGAAAGGTTCATGGCAAACCTGCCTAAATTACTAAGAGTTTAAAAATTAAGCAGCACAGAGAGGTGAAACATAAAAAGATCAATGTGGTAAGAAAATACACATTTACTACTTAAACAGTGGAAGTACAATTCTGTAAAAATAGAAACAAAAGTGACTCTGAGTTGCAATGTATACTCTAAATGCTACAAGACTATATTCAACCATTTCCAAAGACATTTAGATGCTGAATAGTTATCCCTAAGAAGTAAAGCGTAAACATTTCGAAGACAAAGGAACATTTCGACTTCTTTTTATATAAAGAAACCAAAAATTATAGTTGTGGGCAGAAGTTCCCTGAAATTTATAAAAGTCATGAACACTGTGGCTCATGGAATTTGGGGAAAGAACAGTGTATACCTAGAAGTATCATTGTGGTAATAGTGCTTTGCACTACAACATAAAAACTGATTTCTTGGGTTTAATATTCTTTTGTTATGTGTTACATTACACATTCTTCAGAATCTTTTATTTTCCAGGTCAGCAATCTCGTAAAGTATTAAAATGGACCACCTTGCATTATCCCATAGTGATCTATCGTGTGACTTAAAGCTCTTGTCTCATCTTCATACAATTAATAGCAAGTGCAACAGAGGAACTGGAGTAGTTTAGGGAGGTAGGAAGGGTTCTTTCATATTTTCAAACAGCCTCTTTTCCAAGGGTTTGGAGTTTAAAAACAAGAAAGAAAACCACTCTGGACCTGCCACTTAATTCAAGAATGGCTTCAGAATTCTTGCATAGTGGCTTACTGCACACACTTCAAAAGCTGAGAAATCTTAATGTACTCAGCCAGTTACTGACACCAATGAAAACCTTCTTACCTCAGAGTTATAAAATATGGTTCAAGTTAAACCCTGATACGACAAATTAGAATAATTTTCTCTAACATTTTAACACCACTTATCAACAACTAGTGTCTGTAAGTCATTGCTATAGTTGCACAACTGCCTGTGGGTAGACAGACTGTCAGAGAAACTGAGTGTGGGGAGACAGGATGTTTTCCCTTTTATTCCCTGAATGAATTCAAGAGGTTAAAACCAAACTCGTATCAACTTTGCAGCAAAGAATTCAGACTCGAATTCTGAACAGGAACACACTTTAAGGGAAGATTTAAAAAAATGAGGGCTATAAAACCATATACAATGTGGTCAGAATTTCACTTTTGAATTATGTGCATATTATAGTTTAATCTGACATGTTTTATACTTGTATTTCATGTTATGTAGTTTTTGGACTGGGCTGTGTTTTTCCACAAAAAAAAATCAACTGTTTTCCACCTTAATATTCAACCTACCTGCCCATAGTTGTCTATGCCAGTTACTAATCTATTTAAATTTAATAAATCAAAAGCTGTCCTTAGGGATTGGCCAAGAGTCGTAAGTCCTTCAGCCTGAAGGTTTTTCAGTTCATTCATAAACGTTGCATGGTTTTCCTTCCATCCGGCCTGAAACGAAAAACGTAAATAATTTTTTCCCCACATTTTAAAGCCATGTATACACGGACAGCCGTTACAATCTGCCGTTCACCAAGTAGCTGTTTCACTTTACAGTATGCTTTTGGTTTACGTGTCAATAACGTATCACTGCTGAGGAAACTCTCCTCCAAAGGTGGCCAAGAATAAACCTGCTGGCTCTACAGCTTTCGGTAGTTACCAGCCTTAAGACTTTAACTTCCCAGGGGAAATGTACTCCCCAATCTAATACCCAAAATTCGGGGATGCAAAGGTACTGGTGGAAAGCAGAAGTGAGCGGGACTTCTGAAGT